GAACTTTTGATGAACTGAAAGACTTTCACATATTTATAACAACAACGACAAAAAAAACAGAAATCAATGGAAAATAATCAATATAAAATATCAAGAAGAAATATAAACTACATTATTAGTAATAAGTTTTAAGTATACTGATAACATTTTCATATATCATAAGTAAATAGTTTAACTTTATTAGTCCTTATAATGAGTCCTTAATGATTTCCTCATGTTTCTTCTGGGAAGACTTGAATGTAATAATAAAAAGCAAAATGAGCAGAACCAAGAGAACATTGTATACAGTAACAAAAATATTGTTTTAAGAACAAATTTGAGGGAATAAGTTATTTTGTCTATTGTAAATACTCAAACTAACTATTAAAGACTTATGAAGAAAGATGTTATCTGCATCCAGAGAAACAACAAAGAAATGATAAATAGATGTATGTATAGAATAATTTTAAACATGTAAACTTGCATGCACACACACACATACATACATACAAAAGAAGAAAACATAGGAGCATGAAGGAAACTAAAGAATTCATTTGAAAGCCCAGAATGTAGTGAATGTCTGTATCTTTAAAGTGCATTTAAAGAGAGCAGATGCTCATTGGCAAATTAGCATGTCACTACTGAAACATGGCAGATTTAAGGTTATTGTTTTTATTTTTAAATATTATCTTTTCTTCTTATTTCATTGAGTCAATAAATAAGCATTTATTAAGCATTTCTAGATGAAAATGATCTAAATTCTGGTGACCTGAAGAAACAAGATTGTGCATTGAAAACTAATAACTAATATTACCATTGGTCACTGTACTTTAAGGGGGATAAAAGTACAGAATGTCCCATGGTCCAGATAAGAACAATCAAATGAATAGATAGATGATAAGATATCCTTTTGGAGGGGAATGAAAAAGATTAAAACTCTTTTTTCTGAAATTAAAAAAAATTAAAAGGGATTGTTTCAATTGTTTAAAATATGATAAGATTGTAGAAGCTGATGGTGAACTTGTTTTTCAAATGGCACAATATGAAAAGAGATCATGCTTTGAAGCTCAAAAGAATTGAGTTCAGGAAAATTCTACTTCACATAGTAGATAATAAACTTATTACCATAAGATATCTTGCAGCCATAAAGCATGTTTTATTTTTTTTTTCAATTTTTTGGGGGCTAGGCAATGGGTTAAGTGACTTGCCCAGGGTCACACAGCTAGTGAGTGTTATGTGTCTGAATCCAAATTTGAACTCAGGTCATCCTGACTCCAGGGCCGGTGCTTTATCCACTGTGCCACCTAGCTGCCCCTATAAAGCATGTTTTCTAAAGAAAAAATATTGACAGAATATTAGTCTCACAGGGAGATAGAAATGTTTTCAACAAAACTTTGAGAATGATGTAAAGGAGCTCCTTCAAAAATGTGTCTATTGATGCTACTGCCAAATATAGAGTACTAGACAAGGTAGACATGTTCTGCTCCAGTAGTGTAGTTTTTAAGTTCTAAGGATTAAATATTACAACAGAACAAACATTCTAGAAGGTTCTACCAAACCAAATTGAGGGTACCCAATGACTGGTCTGACATCCAACTTCATATCTATCATCACTCAAGAATAATCTTAGTATCATTTGAAGAGGCTTATAAGCAGACAGAATCAGATTTTTCTTTTAGCTATAACAACCTATACCATCCAATAAGAAATGAAAATATTTCAGAGTTGCAAGGTCCAAGAGAATAATCATGGTTTCCTAAATTTACATTTTAAAAAGCAATTTCTGAGGTAAGTGACATAAGCAATGCAGATAGAGACCAAATTACATCCTCTGCATTTCCAGTGTTCTTCATTCAGTTTGATTTTTGCCTTTAATGTTGCCCTTGTAACATTTCAAAACATCTGGAAGTGTTTTGTAAATCTACAGAAAAGATTAGATAATGTTCTTCATGATTTTATTAGGTAGATTCATGAAATAACAATCTCCAAATAATTATATTGGAATTGACCTAAAGGAGAGTAGACCAGCATATGATAGGTACAAGAGGAGTACAACACAAGATAGCTTAGAAACTATGAAGGAAAAAAGAAATAAGGATATTATAAGTGGAATATATATGATCAGCAAAAACTATGAGTCTGTCATGTAGCAACACTAAGAGATGATCAATGGATAGTGTGTATCATTCAGAGGTATCCATACAATGTCAAGATGTTCAGAGGACAGATCTTTTATTCCTTGGCATTTCCCATGCCGTATTTACAAAGTTAAAAATGTTAATGGAAAAGGAAGGGCAGGCATAGATGGGTTGAAACTCGCATTGCTGAGAGGGAATGCCCATGTAAATAATCACACAAAGTAGATTTTATTTTATCCTAATTATTTGAAATCAATGATCTATAAATGATACTATCCAGATGGTAACTCCTACTTAATAAGATTAGTTAGGATGAATATTCCGTTCTCTAATAATTTTATCATTCTGTGATGGTAACAAGAATATTTTACTTGGGGGTCAACATACTCAGGTTCAGGGCTGGCTTTGCCATTTACTGCTTATGTCATTTAACGTGTTTGAAACTCTTTGCTCACCTATAAAACAGCATTAGTAATGCCTGCTCATGGCTTCTCCACTCATGAGGTAATTCTGAGAATCAAATGAGATTATGTTATGTTTTTATGTATGTATGTATGTATGTATGTATGTTATGTATTGTGTGTATACATAGGCATTTGGTAAGCAATGCAGTATTGTATATCTGAGGTTTCATTTTTGATAATATTATAATTTAGAAGACTTTTATTATGTTCTTTGTTGAATTTGTCACTGTTATTCAAAATAAAAGTTAACTATATGTGTGTAGTCCCTGCTCCAAACAAACAAAAAAATTGATGAATATTGATATGTATAAAATGTCTTTAGATATATAAAAGCTGTATATTTGCGTTATGGATCAGGGAACTATAAGGTGAAAAAGATGAGTATTAATGCAGAAATAGGATAGAGGACCAAAGGATCATAGGTTTAGAGCTGGAAATTATGTAATCCAGTCTAATCTACTCATTTTAGAGATACAGAAACCATGGCCCAATGAGACTGGTGACTTGTACAATGTGAGAGAGAGAGAGAGAGAGAGAGAGAGAGAGAGAGTAAATGGTAGAACTAAGATTCAAGCCCAGTTCCAGTGATGCCAAATATTGTACTCTCTCAACCACGTCATGCTTAATCTAAGACTTAGCTCTATCACATTCTAACTGTAGGGCCATGAACAAATAACCTCTGGGCCTCAGTTGTTTCATTTGTAAAATTTGAGGTTAGACTGGATTATTTCTAAGATTCTTTCTAGCCCTGTTATTTTATGTCTGCCACTTAAGATAGTTTTATAATATTTACATAATTTAGAAGTAAAAAGAAGCTTTATAGAAATATAATCCATATCTTTTTTTTTTTTTACTGAGGAAACTGGGGACTAAAGAAACAAAATGACAGTGAGAATTAAATCTAGCATATTATGACATCATATTCTGTGCTCTTTCTGCTATACTATGCTGCATAGGGAAATCAATTGAATCTTTTTTAAAAACTCTTATGATTTACCAGCTCTTCAAACTTAGTAGATAGTATTAAATATTTATATTTATCTCAGATATGTTAACCTTATAATAAATGCTTAATTGACATATTAATGTATTATTTGAATAAAGACACAATTTTATGCTTGAATATTGTCATTTACTTTTGTTTTTGAGTAATTTATATGATGAAATCATTCAGTCTAATAATACCCTCTATGAGGGTCAAATATTTTCCATTTAATATGACATTAAAAATGAAAGAATACTTACTTTATTGACCTATGGAACCAAAATGAAGAATTAATACAGGGAAGGGAACATCTAGTAAGTTTAACAGTTTTAAAGAGTAATTTATCCATGTTCACTAAGTTTTAAACATTTTCTCTATGCATAGATTTATACAAATTTAATTTTAAAAAATCCTGCCTTCATTTAAAAGTTATTACAGATAGAATTGTGACACTAATATAAAAAAATTTCTATTCCTCTCCTCCTATAGTCCTATATATTTAAAAGTGTTCCTTAAGTGGATAATGATTTCCTCACACTATTTCCTACTCAATTTTTAAAAAGCATATTATGTGGTAAGGCACATATTGGAAAATGATCTAGAAATCCAAAGAGAAACATAAGTTAAGCCTCACAAAGAGAAAGCCAAAAACAACAGGTGATAGAAGAAGGGCCCATGTGGGGAAACTAACTCACTCACACTCAAGTGAACAGTCCAGAAGCCTGCACAATTGCCTTAACTGTGGAAGTCATTGCAAAATATATAAAAGAAAGAAGAAATTCCAGATATAAGATGAGCAGGAAGAAATATGTTTCCTAATTTTAGTGTTTTAAACTATATTTAATATCTTCCTCTAGATAAATTCAGAACCCAGACCAGTGTTGGTTAAACTACTCAGCTTTGCTATTTGTACCTGTATGTGTTAGTGTAGAAGTCTCCTTTATAAATGCACCAGAGAACTTTTGTGGAGAACACTCAAGACTGGCTGGAGTCGATTGCCATCTGGTGGGCAAGTTAGGTATCATATACCCTAACAATAATTCTTGTAATGACCAAATTTCTACAGGTTTAAGGAAGGCATCGTATAAGGAAATATAGACTTCTTAAACAACTATAGTACCCAAAATATCACACAGTGTACCTAAAAAATACCCCATGCTTTCCAACAAATGTTAAGTTTATAGTAGTTCATTTGAAATGCATAAAAACCTATGGTATACATGTTATTATTACCCCATTTTACACATTAAGAAATTCACTCTCAGAAAGGTAGTATGAGTTACAGTGATCACAGAGCTAGTAAGTGTCAGAATCAAGATTTGTATGTGGTCTTTCTTACTTGAAGTACAGTACTCTGGGTCAAAAAAATAAACTTTAGAGTATGCAGACCTTCCTTGATTTCACAATTTTTTCTCAAATTTTTCTTTTCACCAGATAAGAAATGTTGAAACCAACCAGTGTTTAGACAACATGGGCCGCAAAGACAATGAAAAAGTGGGCATGTTCAATTGTCATGGAATGGGAGGAAATCAGGTAAATGCCAGCTTGTTAATCACATTCATATTTTCCATAATTCATCAAAATACCATTCACTTTGTTGAGATTTTACACACACACACACACACACACACACACATGCACACACACGATTATTTATTGCAATAATATTGATATTCACTTTCAATGTCTGTCAGCACACCCAGATCTAACATTAATGCCAAGTCTACTTACACATAGTGGAATGAGTTACAAATAGAAAAAAAATGCAATTATTCTCATCCTTCAGAATTATTTGTAGTTCTGAAAAATAGTGAGACAATTTTCTCTAAGCTTACAGTTATTTTCAATGATCTGAGCCTTGCAACATGTGTCATACTACCAAGATATATGTTCTGCTTAGGGGGAATCTGTCAGGCCAAGTGTATATCATTGTCTGGAAAATAGAGATACTTTTTTTTTTTCCTGTTTGGAAACTCTTGAGTTTGTGAGTAGTTGTAAACCTCATTTGTGAGGCTCCTTAGTCTTCTGGGACTTAAAACAATTGATCCAATGTCATCTGCAAGCAGAAACTTCTAAAGGACTTCCCCATTTGTAAGAAATCTTTCTTCCACTGACATATAATGAAATTGAGTTTAATTCAGTTTTTAATAAATGACTAACACATATAGAAAATAAGTAGCAGAGCCAGGTTTCATTAGAAAAAGCTCCTCCACTTAATTCTCCTCTTACTACATCCTTGAATTTTGTAATCTGGTTTCAAAAATCATCAAGCTGAAAGTGGTTGAGCCAATGATCTTTTTTAATGTTTTTTTTTAATCCCCTTCTAGGGAGCCATCATTTATTATGATTTTTGGAAGAAAAAAATTTAAAAATCATCACAATTAATCAATATTTCAAAAGAAATGTTGTTATATGCAGTGTTCTATATCCACAGATCTAGACCTTGAAAAAGGAATAGAAATAAGTGTTTTCTGATCTCTTTTTCAAGGACCAATTATTGTCTTTATAATTTTGCAGTATTTGGTTTTAATCTTTACATGGTTGTTACTGTTTATACTGTCATCTTCTTAGAAATGCTCATATGTGCTCACAGGGATGTTTCCAGTGTGCTGAGTTTTTTACCTGTGTTTTAGCAATGGAACACAAACTTTTCATCTGGTGTGTTTGCATTATTTGGATATAACAAAGGGAGTAGTACTGTCAGAGGTGTAATCTACAAATACCAAAATAATTATATCAGCCATCCCCCCCAAAAAAAAGGCCAAAGCAAATCTAATCGATTGACTTCAAAAAATATTGGGATGATGAAATATTTTTGTAGGCTGTTGCTTAAATTATTCACTTCACTTGAATGTTTCCATAGAGCCAACATGGCCATTCAGATAATGTCAGAAGCAAGAGAATAAAAAACAAAGCTTCCTATAGGAAATGCTTAACTCACTAAACAGTGTTTCTTGTTATTCAAGCTGCAATATACGCACGCATACATTCAGTCATAATATCATTGTCATTTCATGGTATTTACATTCGAATTTAGGCTCTGGGGATTTTTAAAGTGGGGTGATTTTTTTTATTCCAACTTGTTTTGTGAAGAAAACAGGCTCGATCTCCCTACACTAGGCTAACCCCTATTGGTTTTTATTGCTATCTTATATGTTTCCATGGAAGCAAGTTCTATTATTGTGGTTATTTAGTTTGGAGATTTTTAAAGTGTCCCTCTACTCATAAAAATAATCAAATCGTATTTTTGCTCATGCACAGAAAACAAGAAAAATGTTAAAGCAACATATGAGGGATTAAACCCAATTGTCTTTCCAAAATAGCATATTTTACAATTGTTTACAATTACGTGATAGACTTTGTATTCCTTAGACATGAGTTTTGACATTTTTTTCAACATTCTTAGATATTTCAATAAGAGATGACCTTTTTCTCATAGGTGATTTTTTTTTCCTTAACCACTCAAAAAAGAACAATTGGAACATCAGTTTATTTCAGACCCAACAGAACAGTTATGAAGGTAGGGAGAGGAGGGAGAGACATTTCCATGATAAAACATCATCAATGGCTATCTTACTATATTGAAAAAAAAAGGTTGCTCTTCCATATTTGATCACTTTGTGTTTTGTTTTGTTGCTGTCAATGGTGATGTTTTAACCTATATTGTAAATACTATTTGCATGTCAGAATGGAGACCTTTCAGTCAGAAGGACCTGAATTCCAGTTCTGCCTTTGGCACATAAACGAGAATTATTACAAACACCATAAGACATTATTAAACAGTTGCTTCTCTGGAGTACTAGAGAAAGTTTTCAAAACAGAATTTTCCCTAGACAGATGAAGTCGCAGATTTATGCCATTCAACTCCTCCCCACTAAAAACTAAAAGTAAATAATTTCTCCTAGATCCAAAAAAAAAAACCCACTAAGAAGTCTTCTTACCTTCCTTCAAAACTTCACTGTCCTTATTAAAAACCATTTCATTAAATCACCATAATTACTATTAAATACATGAAGAAATGTATATGAGGATGAAGACTAAACTTTAATCATCTTCATTAAGGTTACAAACTGCTCCAACCATTCTGGAGAACAATTTGGAACTGTGCCAAATAGCTACAAAACTATGCATATCCTCTGACTCAAAAATACCATTACTAAGTCTGCATCCCAAAGAGATCAAAGAAAGGGGGAAAGTACTTATATGCACAAAAATACTTATAGCAGCTCTTTTTTTTGGTGACAAAGAATTAGAAATCTAAGGGAATGTCCATAAATTGGGAAATAGCTGAAAAAATTATGGTATGTAATTGTGATGGAATATTATTTTTCTATAAGGTATAATGCAGGGTATGGAGGTAGAAAAACATAGGAAGACATATAAACTAAAAACAAGTGAAGTGAGCGAGACTAGGAGAACATTTTACATAGTAACAGATATATTGCAAAGATGACCAACTGTAAAGGGCTTTCCAACTCTGATCAAGATGATCCAAGACAATTCCAAAGGACTTGGGGAAAATGCTATCCACCTCCTGAGAGAGAACTGATGACCTCTGAGTGCAGATTGATACATACTTTTTTAATGTTATTTTTAATGTTTTTGCATGTTTTACTTTGCAACATGGCTAATATAGAAATACTTTTTTATGACTTCATATGTATAATCAATATCCTATTACTTGACTACTCAAGCAGTACAGGAAGTACAGAAAAAGAAATTTGGAACTTAAGATTTATAAAAAAATGAATGTTAAAATATTAAAATGTAATTGGGAAATACATAATGAAATAAAGAGTAGATTCAAGGTCTACCTCTGACATGTACTGCCTTGTGACCTTGGACAAGCCATGTATAAACTCTTAGTGTTCTAATGAAGTGTCAGACTATGAATGGTAGAGGAAGTGTCAACCTAAAGTGGTATATATTTTTTGCTTGTTTGTTTTTGTTTTACTGTGGAATTCCTTATATCAATAAAATCACACCTCTAGTCCCTATCCCATCTTCACAGAAAAGATACAATGGTGGAATCTGAATAAATAATGGCATGGACAATTTGAAAGAGACAAGGAAAGATTTTAAGAATATGCTGACATCATTTGTTATTAAAAACAAGTTACTAAACTATCATTTGGTATTAAAGGCATTGGGAATAAAAGTTGGAGTTAGACAGACCCTCTCTGAAATCGTATCTTGACTACTAGTTATGTGACCATGGGCAAGTTACCCACCCTCTCTAAGCTTCAAGTAGCAACCTAGAGCTTATCTACTAAGTAAGAGAAAGTTTTAATATATGCTACCAGAGTGATATAAATATAGAGTAACATGTAAGGACTTCAGGAATCATCTCATCCAACTTCCTAATAATACAAATGAGGAAACTGAGGCCCATGGAGGCTGTGAGTTCCCTAAGGGCAGGAGCTATTTCTTTTTTGTCTTTGACTTCCTTGAGCTTATCTCATAGTAGGTGTTTAATAAATGCTTGTTGATTCACTGATATATTATCCATGGTCACAGAGGCATGAAGCAGTCATCAGAGGTGGAATATATATTTCAAATCAACTGACTCCAAAGTCAATGTTCCTCCCACAGTCCCATTTCATCAGGATAATTTTACACCAGGCAGGGATATAAGGTTTGTTCTTCTTTCCCTGAGTTGTGCACCAGGATTAAGACTAGAATTACCAACTGTTTCTACAAAGGAAACTAAACAAATCTAATTGAAAAAAAAAACTTTAAGAACAAACCAAGTCATTGACTAGAAAACAATATCATTGTACAGAAAGTGATATGACCAAAAGAAAACACAAAGACTGATCATAATTAAGAATAGAAAGGTATAATTCACCTTTGAAACCATGAGGCAAAGAAACTACGATAATTGACTAAAAACACTTATGAAAATCCCAAGCTGTTGAAACCACAAAATTTGACATACTAACTGGAATAATATAGAACCACTTTTTTTGGAGTGTTTTCAATTTAGCATAGATCCAGTACACGAGGATCAAGGTGAATTGTAGGCTAGACGTAATTTCCTCCTGAGTTCCCTTTGAGCTCTGCAATTCTACAGTGTCTTAGTGCCCTGTCTAGAAGGTTGGTTTATATCAATCTTGGAGCTAACTTCAGGATAGGAGTTAATATCAAAGTCAAACAAAGTAGCATTACAAAAACAAACAAACAAACAAAAAAACAAGGACTATTGTTTAAGAAGAAGGAATTCAAATTAAATGGTAAAAAGAAAACTAATGATGCAGTAATAATATTAGGGAGGTGGGAAAAGCTAGGCCTTTTGCCAATCCAATTGGGATAAACTACAGAACATTCTCACAAAGCAGAAAGGTCACAGATGGGCTTTATGGAAAGAAGCAACTACAAGGTAATGCAATTATGGAAAAGTAATCTAAATTTAATTTTAAAGACAGGCTCAGAGCTATGAAATATGATCTAAGAAAGGCATCTCAGCATTACCCTAAGCATATTTTGACAGAAGAAACTATGTAAAGATCATAGTTTAATTTAGATAGAATGAA